TTTTTTTCCTTAAAAAAATGAAGGGGGGGGGGGCCTTGAATCCACCTCTGCTCAAAACATTCTTTATCCAGAATAGTCATAATCACGAAAAATGGACATGAAAAACCAGATCACATCCTAAAAACTAAGACATACATCAGGAGCCGACTCGATAGAGTTTAATGTCATACCCAGGGAAGGGCACAGATCTGTTTTGAAAGGTGGAGGGTGAGGGCATTTTGTGAGTCGACACCCACCTCAGCCCCACAATGGTTGGAGCTGAGGTGAGAAAATTTGAGGAAATAGTACCTCTAGATGGCCAGAAATGACACTTTTATATAGTAAAATTCATCATCATCACATTACCATTATAGTCAAAATGAAGCGCCAAAAAAAATTCTCATGATCTTTCATCAGGGATTTTGACAACCATAGAGATCTTATTAATGTGTGTGTGTATACCATAGAAAACAAAGCTTAAAAACACCATGGCTGGGGCTGAGGTTTTATCAGGGATGATACTTTTATCAGGGATTTTTGATAACCATAGAGATCTTATTAATGTGTGTGTGATATACCATACAAAAAAAACATATATAAAAAAAGGTTAAAAACATTGTCTTTGAGTATGTACTTTACATAGGCCTACTTCAAAAACGTGATTTCACAACCACCTCAGCCCCACCATGGCTGGGGCTGAGGTGAGAAAATTTGAGGAAATAGTACCTCTCGAGATGGCTGGAAATGACACTTTTATATAGTAAAATTCATCATCATCACATAATTACCATTATAGTCAAAATGAAACGCCAACAAATTTCTCATGATCTTTAATCAGGGATCTACTTAATATCCAGGACAACTTAGGCCTAATTATAGCTTACTAAGCTTTAACTATACTATATTATGATCAACAATTCACAACTTTTTTTTTCGCATTTAGCACAATTTTCTTCACTTTTTATTGTTATTAATATTAATATCAATTATTACTATTGTCATCATCATCATTGTTGTTATTATTATTACTATTAGTAGTAGTATTATTAAACAAACATTTAAAGAAACTTGCAAAAGGATAAAAACGAAATTGAACCACACATGAGGAAACTTCACCATTTACCAAATTTTACAATTTTGAACCAGGTTTTGCTAATCTCTTCTTATCTCTATTAATTACTGCTTCAGGGAATTTTGTAACAAGATTAACAGTGAAGCTCATTAGTTGTGAATAGTTCATAAGAAGACTAGCACAATTAAATCAAAAACCATGTTGTAACTTCTAACATAAGTCATTGATTTCTAAAATTCAAAAGCATATCTATTTAATGATTTTTATCTGAAATTATAGCTAAGGTAATAAAAATGCCAAATTATTTTGAACAACAGGTTTTTAAAATTTTCCAGCCTGGTTTTTAAATACTATACTGGTAATTTATTGAGAAATAGCAATGCCTGCTTTGATAATGACTCTTAAGTAGAGGTATTTTTCTTTGATGTTTAATTGGATTACTGAGATAAGCACCTGGTTCACCAACCCACCTGAATGCCCTTTTAAAGGGTTTGCTGGTAAATGGGATAGTAACAGCATGGTATCGCATTTCTATCTTGGCTCAAGAATAAGCTTTAAAATTTTAACACTGTGTACAAAGGGGGGGGGGGAGCCGCGGCTCCTACGGCTCCCCCCTGGATACGTCCCTGTCTTGAGGTGCACAGCGAGGAGCTTTAAGTAGAAATCTGGCCATTTGTTGCTGTAGTTTTTCTAAGTCATTATTATCTTTTTTCGAATTGCTATGCCAGATAATTAATTGAGGGAAGCGCTAATTGTCCTCCATAGAATACTGCCGTAATAGACCCTATTAAAATTATCAAGGTTTCCAATCACACCTTTGATATACGAAATTAAACAGTTTCCTTTTTGAATGACATGTTGGTAGTGGTTATGTTCCTTTTGATTTGAAAAAATTATCACTCCCAAATATTTATAGCAATCTACCTCTTTTATGAATTTTTCACTAATTTTCCATTGTTTTTCTCGGTTAATTCGCTTTCCAGCGACCATCACATTAAATTTTTCATAGTTAAAACTTAGCTTCCACTCCTTTTCATACTTCCCTGCAATATGTAACATTTTTATCATTTCATGTTCATTATTTCCTAATAAAACAACGTCATCGGCCCAAAAGAGGTCTCCCATCCATAAGCCATTCATTCTAACCCCCATACCATTGTCTTGAATAATTTTTACAAATTCATTTATAAAAATAGAAAATAGTATTGGGGATAATACACAGCCCTGTTTTACACCCTTTTCAATACAAAATTGGTCTGTAAGATCATTAGTCATACATTATCATTACTCATACATAGGCGACTTCTGCCTCATTGAAACCATAAATGTTCTTATTAAAAGCCTGCAGTACTGATACAATGATTAAATGAGTAAAGTGTTATATTTAATATAAAAATAACGCTAAAAAGCTTTGCTTTGACAGAGACAAACATATGCTGTTAGGACAACATGCTAAGGACCATCATATCAGCCCAAGCAGTATTTTGAGTCATGTTTCAGAATTTTAAAGAAATGTAGGAACAAATTTGACTGTCTCGTCATGAAATGCTATTTATTAGACAATTAAAACCCAGTCTGAATAAACAACACTCTGTCAAAGAAAAGCTTTTTATCTAACACAGGGATTAATATCCCACTGTTAATATGAACTTTGACATTGTAGATTAGCTATTTTCTATTGATTATAGTTGCTGTATATTCTATACTTCATTATTTGATCTTGAAAATGACACCATGAAGGAGTTGAAACGTCGATCTTTTCTTTTTAGCATTATTTTTATATATATTTATACAAAACGTACTCTTATTAATAGTGTTATAATTATGAAAAAAAAACATTATAACAATTAACTAGCACTTCGGTTAAACATGATAATACACATACTTTATGCATTAACAATGTTTCAGTAACGTACTTACCGATAGGCATCCAGACACGTGGTGTTTAACTTTAGCCCAAATCAGAGATAACTATAGTAGTATAATCGCAGGCCCAAATGAGGCTGCTCTTAAAATGAAGAGGTCTTAAATGTTGAAAGAGATCAGAGCAACTGACACTGTAGTAGAAACGCTATGCTATGCAGAAACTATGGTAATTTTGAAGGTTAGAAGTAGCGTTGCTATGGAGATGAGGTGCTAGATTATTCCTGGTATGGTAATAATTAAACCAGCAGTAGAAACAATGTTGTCAAGCTATCCCTGGTTATAATTTGTGTTGTAGTGGTGGTAGTAGTAGTTGGTGGAGTAGCCATGCTTACGAAAAGTACAATACAATAAGAGAATGCTGGCAAACGGATATCTACAATATCAGATGATTTTAAAGTAGCCTAAAAGTGTTTATTATACACATACACTGACTGGTCATATATACAAGTGTTAATAAATATTCATGATAAGTCATTTGGATATCATCATCATGTTGGAATGCACGACAGTTCTTGGGTCTGTAGCATCAATCAATTAACCACTAAATGTAACCACTAAAATATGATGAAGAGTTTCTTCACCTTTATACTGGTAACTGTTCACTATTAGCTCTATGTAATAACATATTATATACACTTTTTTTTTTTATAAGAACACATTTTATAAGAACACTGAGGCTGAAATTGCTTAAAAATTAAGAACAAAATAAGAAAAAATTGAGGCTGAGTTAGCCTAAAATGTCAAATGAGATTTCTGAAAAACCAAAAAATTATATCTGTACATTATGTGCAGTAATATAGGTATGACTAGGTAATACCCCCTATCATGTGTACTGTCATTTGGGGCCATTTTTACCAGGCCTTTTTTCTGGAGAAATTTTTCCAGGGCATTTTTTTCAGGGCCCGTTTTTGCTGTACAATAATAATTTTCTATGTTTGAAAAGTGTGTAAAATAAGAACAAATTAAGAATATTTTGAGCCTGAAATCGGCCAAAAAATAAGAACACTGAGCCTGGGCAAAATTTTACTGGTTCTTATAAAAAAAAAATAGGAATAGGAATATCAGAGCATTTCATAACACGTATCGTAACAAACAACTTCACTATTAATAATAATTTGATAGTTTAAATAAATTATTTCCCATGCCTGACCGACACAAAAACCGTGAAAAATATAAGGAAGAAGTGGGGATAGAAACAGTTTGTTTATTATGCCTTCATAATAATGAGTTATAGGATTACGCAATTAATCAACTGTCCCTGTATTTAGGTCAAATGAAACAATTGAATATACTATGATTTCAAAATCTGACTAACGTCACAGCGATTTTCATTTAGGTCTATTTTTTTCCTTCTGTCACTAAATGTTAAATTGCTTTGCTTACGATTTCAATAGGTTCTAGTGGCGATATTTACATTCTTGAACATGAATGTGTGTATACATTATAAATGTATTATGAATTTAATTTAAATGTATTATGAATTTAATTCCTGACCTGTATTTAAGAATATATAATAACATAACATTTGTGATAATGGTAAGAAGGAAGATTATTAAAAAATATCAAATTTTCTAGAAACAATTCTTGAAATAAGAATACAAATTTTTGTATAAAATTTAAAGATGATGCTGTTTTTTCATTTACTTTCTCTATGATCAAATGTACTACTGAATGAACACTGCAAACACTTATAGGTTATGTAAACAGTTTGTTTTGAGGTTTTAAGCTATATGATTTACGGTATAATTAAAATTCCATTGAAAAAGCAAATGGCCTCATTAGTCAGATCATGGAAAAAGGTCAGACACATCAAGGACTTTCACTAAATAACAAGCTAACACGCCAAGTGTTCATCAAATGGCCAACGAAAATAGGCATTGGTTTTTTTTTTGTTATATACATATTTATATAATATTTTATATAATATATATTTTATATAATATATAATTATTTATATAATATATAATATTTTATATAATATATAATATTTCATATAATATATATATATATATATTATATAAAAAATTATATATTATATAAAATATTATATAAATATATAACGTAAAAAACCATGTCATTTTTTGCTAAATAATAAGTGAACAGATGGCGCCTCATACTCTACCTTAAACCAATCATATTAAGTTTTCTATCAGCTTCAAGCTAATTATATTCCCTCCACGAATCCACTTGGGCCGACTTGAACAAAGAAATATTCTGTGAGTGAGGGAGTAAGAAACGAGCTCAGAACAGCCAAAAACCTCAAATTTCTTGAAATTCCCTAAATCGGCATGAGCAGCTGTCATAAGTCGGAGTATTCCGACTAAAATACTACTTTAATTTACTTTATAATATGCTAGTTTGAGAGGCCTACGGTCAATATTCTAATGTTTCATGGAATGTTATAACCAAAACCAAATGCAAATAATGTTAATACAGGGATGTATTCCGGGGGAAGCCGGAAGCCGTCGGACACCCCCCCCCACCCCCTTTGTACACAGTGTTAAAATTTTAAAGCTTATTCTTGAGCCAATACAAATTCTTTTCTAGGATCACTCAAAATGAATACTTCTAAAACATGTCAATATGCATCATTACACGTTATACATAGGCCTAATAGAACACATAGGCCTAAATCCATAAATCTCAGGCCAGGTCTTTTACGATAGAATGCGATACTGTGGTTCAATTTCGTTTTTATCCTTTTGCAAGTTTCTTTAAATATTTGTTTAATAATACTACTACTAATAGTAATTATAATAACAATGATGATGATGACGATAGTAATAATTGATAATAATAATATTAATAGCAATATTAAAAATGAAGAAAATTGTGCTAAATGTGAAAAAAAAGTTTGTTGTAAGCTATAGTTAGGCTTAAGTTGTCCTGGATATTGTGGATCCTTGATAAAAGATCATGAGAAATTTTTTGGCGTTTCATTTTGACTATAATGGTGATGTGATGATGATGACTTTTACAACATAAAAGTGTCATTTCCGGCCATCTCGAGAGGTACTACTATTTCCTCAAATTTTCTCACCTCAGCCCCAGCCATGGTGGGGCTGAGGTGGTTGTGAAATCACGTTTTTGAAGTAGGCCTACGTAAAGTACTTACTCAAAGACAATGTTTTTAAGCTTTGTTTTCTATATGGTATATCACACACACATTAATAAGATCTCTATGGTTGTCAAAAATCCCTGATAAAAGATCATGAGAATTTATGTTGGCGCTTCACTTTGACCAGCTTTGACTAATGGTGATGTGATGATGAATTTTACTAAAGTGTCATTTCTGGCTATCCTTTCCTCAAATTTTCTCACCTCAGCTCCAACCATGGTGGGGCTGAGGTGGGTGTCGACTCGCAAAATGCCCTCCCCCTCCACCTTTCAAAACAGATAGATGTGCCCTTCCCTGGGAATTACATTAAACTCCAACGAGTCGGCTACTGATGTATGTCTTAGAGACTGCTGTTTGCTTTTAGGATGTGATCTGGTTTTTCATGTCAATTTTTCGTGATTATGACTATTCTGGATAAAGAATGTTTTGAGCAGAGGTGGATTTAAGGCCCCTCCCTTCATTTTTTTAAGGAAAAAAAAGAAAAATATATTCAAATTGAAGTGCGAGAGTGTAATTTCCGGCCATCTAAGCCCCAACCATGGTGGGGCTGAGGTGGTTGGTTCCTCGTTCTGTGAAAGCAGGGGCGGATTTAGGGGGGGGGGGCCGGCCGGCCCCGGCCCCCCCCTTTTGGGAGGTAAAAAAAGAAAAAAGAAAGAAAAAGAAAAAAAATGATAGCCCAGAACGCCTCAAATGTTATTTTCGGGCGTCTAGAACACAAAAATTTCGCGGGGGCATGCCCCCGGACCCCCTAGGACATTGTTGTCTCGATCGGCCCAAATTTTGGCCCCCCTTTCGGCCCCCCCTTTTGGACATCTCTGGATCCGCCTCTGGAAAGTCCCTCCCTCATTCACCTCTCTTTCGAATTCCTGGATCTGCCACTGTTGATTTATTATATAATTATTTTTGCGCTTATTTATAATGCGCCTAGGCCTATAGTTCTATTGCAATTTTCACTTTATTCTCTCAGACAGTCCTAAAGTAAGAACGTTTAGAGTGCGCTACTTCACAGGGGGATTCGCCCCCCTTGACCCCACCGGGGTCCTACGTAATTCGCATAACGGCTCCCCCCCCCCCTCCTTTCAAAAGCCTGGCTACGTCCCTGTGTTAATAATTATTTTTGTTTAAATTATTCCTAGATTAAATAAATATAGGCGTTTACCTTAAAGAGTTGCTTAACGGAGATGCTGCCTCCACGACCTTCGATCACTTTGTCAGGGTTGCCAGATAGTCGACAGGCTTCACGGCCAAACACACGCCATCTTGCGGCCAAATTCGGCCAAACTTTTTTTCGATATCGGCCAAAATTCGGCCAGATTTTAATCCGATTAGAAGACAACAGTGGGTACCGGTACATCAATTTGAAATACTACAAAAAAAATATACGAAAATCAGCGGTCATTTGTTTGAGATTGAAGAAATTCAAATGATATACACAGAACAATGTTTAAAATAAATAGCCTATATTCTTTAGTTGCTGGCATGCAGGCCAACTCTGGGGAAAATCCAGAGATGTCCGAAAGGGGAGGGCCGGGGCCGAAAAAAGGGGAGCGAAAGTGGGTCCGATCGAGATAACACCATCTTAGAGGAAATTTGTCTTTTATTTTCTACGCCCGAAAATAACCTGATGCATTTGGGCGATCAATTTTATTTATTTTCCCCCCTTTTTTTACCACCCCTCCCCTTAAATCCACCTCTGCTATTTAAAATCACAATATTAAGATGTTAAAGGCCTGTTATTGGCAAATCCGTGGCTCTCTTTAATTAGAATGAATTAAGTTACATAGTTAGGTAACACAAACTGGCGTTAAAACAAACCTATGAAAACTTTAATAAATACTTTTTATCTAAACTTTCGAAATTCGCCTCTGAATGTTATTGTCGCAGTACTTTTAAAGCAAATAATCCATGTTGCTATCAGAATTATCTTCTTCCTTCTCATATGCAACCTAACTCTAGAGTAACTTCGAAGAAGTCTCTGCAAAATTTGCTTAAAATTGGAGGTGCCATCGGACCCGAATGATCACATCGAGCATATGGCGCTCTACATAAAGAACACTGCGGCACCTAGGGCTATACAATTCAAGTGGGCAATAATATTTAAAGTACAGTATTTAACTTATATTCAAAAGAAATTCAAAAGAGATAGAACCAAGATGGAACATATACAAAGACACACAATATGGTACAAACTTGCAATGAACTGTCTTCATAAAGCTTAAACGAGGATAAACCTTATAAACAATATATTTCATCCAAACAATTTAAATTATTAAATGTAACTATTATCTTTTAAATAAACTCTCTTACGTCAAATCGGCTGAATCGGGGAACATAGATTAAGTGTTTAGTGCAAATACAAACAAAGGTAAAAGATTAGAATCAAATATAGAATTTAAGCTAACAAAAACAAAAGATCCAAAACAAGTCTACGTTATATTAGACCGATATTGAAAAAATTTAAACTTTTCAAAAATTTGGCCAAATTCGGCCAAATATAGTTTGGTCGTGACTTTTCAAATGCTACGGCCAGGCAAATTTTTATACGGCCAGATTTGAGGAATCTGGCCGTCAAAAAGGCCAAATGGCAACCCTACTTTGAACTGAGAGGAAATTAATAACCTGGACTCTCAAGTTTTAGAGTGAATGAGGCCAAAATCATTTAATACTGATGCTTGCAACACATACAAATAATGTTGTATTAGTCCCATGTTAGATCTTCATGAGTTTCAACACAGAATAATCTCATAGGGCCTATATTTAACTTGGTCAATGTGTGTCGTTCTATCGACATAGTTAATCATTATGGAATTGTTGGATTGGATTGGACCTTTGGTGTAAGTTCACGTAGGATAAAAAAAGAAATTTAGAAGATGGAGACCGTACATGTCTCCCTTCTTATTAAAAAAAAACAAAAAAACAACAAAACAAAACAAAACTCTACTTTTGGGACTTAGACAGTCGTTTGAGAATCTTTTGTTGCCATCACACCATACTATATTATTGTTAAGTCATCATGTTTTTTATTTTATAATTTTTTGTAAAAGTGTATTGAGGTACTGCCGCGCAATATGCGCTGTATAAATGGAATTTATTATTTTTAATATTAATTAAGCAGCTTTGGTCTTTCTAGAAAATTAATTATCATTGGGGGTGGCCTTTCTTCAGTTTCTGTATACCATGAGACAGTGGGGGTGGGAGTCGGGAAGAGCTGCACCCCACCCCTCCCCCCTCGTCGGTTAGAAAAACTACCATTCGTCGGGAAGAAAAAATTAATTAAATAAGCCTTTGAAACTCAGAAATTGTCACATTTTTTGGGGCTTCGCGGCAACCTGGACCACTTTCGAAAGATTTTGAACAACTCTCGACCACGCCCGCTTTGCTCTCGTCGGTGGGGGGGGGGTGCTCTCGTCGGGGGGGGGGGACATCGGTGCCCCCTCCCCACCACCCCTTCAGGCAAATCCTGGCACCACCCCTTCCATAGGACTTTGTTCCCATTGTATTATTTTGTCCTTATAATAAAATAATTTCTAGAAGTAAATACAGTGCTATAAATACTAAGGTAAGAAACATGTTTGGAACAACTATTTTCTATTTAATTCCATAGTTTTATAACTTGATTCATGCTTTTACTGCCTATTTCTATATTTCGTGTTATCATGTTAGGTCTCGATTCGACGTCGAATTATGAAACGTGGTAGGCTTGGCACCTTGACCTGGTGATTAGTTTTTATTAAAAAATAATTATTATAGTATACAATGTTCCGTTCATAATTTAAAGCCGTTCCGAATAGCACTGTTCCTATTCCGTCGTTCTTACTTCATGTTATACCTTACAGCACACTAACCTACAAGAAGCTTACTACTACTAGGCTACTGTAGGCCTAGTACAAGTTTATAATTTGTTTTGCTGAGAATGGCTACTCTGTTTTATTTGCAAACTGTGTATTTGTATCGGGAAGTGGAATTTCACTGTTCCCTGCTGATATTAAATCTTAAGATTGTTCCCAATTCTCCCTAATCATACCATCTTTTTTGTATTGTTTTGATTTTGTTGTTTTTTTTTTTTTTTTTGTTGGGTTTTTTTTTTTTAATTATTATTATAGCTTTACTG